GCTAGGCACCAGGCCGGGACTCGGGGCTGGAGGGACCAGCACCCAGCTGGCCAGGGGCGGGGGGCAGGAGTGAGAGCCAGGCCTCCTCTCTGCTCCTCCTCAGAGCACGTCCCGCCCCCCCGCCCCTCCGCTTCCTCTCCGCCAGGGTTGGGCTTTCCTGTGTTGCTCTGCTCCCGCCAGCTCTGTTCCAAGCACTTTAATTTCCTCTCGGATGCCTGCCCTAGGTCACGCTGTCACCACCTCCTGAAAGGCTTCCTGTTGGGCGAGGTTCTCCTCTGTCCGTCACAGGATGTCCCGCCTTCCTCTGGCCAGGGCATCGCAGGAAGTCCCACCTTCCTCTAGTATGGACATCACAGGAAGTTCCGTCTCTGTGACCGGGGCATCACAGGATGTTTGGCCTGCTTCTGGCATGGACATTACAGGACGTCCCACCTTTCTCTGGCAAGGGCATGGCAGGAAGTCCCACCTTCTGCTCGAATGGGCATCAGCGGAGCATGGCAGGAAATCCCACCTTTCTGTTCAAGGGCATAGCAGGAAGTCCCACCTTCCGCTAACATGGGCATCAGTGGAGCATCACAGGAAGTCCCACCTTTCTGTGCAAGGGCATAGCAGGAAGTCCCGCCTGCCTTTGGCACCAACCTTGCAGGAACACTGCAGGAAGTCCTGCCTTCTTTTGACATGGGCATTACAGGAAGTCCCGCCTCTCGCCTCCCCGCCCCCTCATGCCTGGGGATTTCTCAGCTCACTGAAGGATTATAACCACGATTTGCATGTTACACTTTGGCCACCTGCCCAGACTCCGCTACCTGCTCCTCCAATCAGACGGCCCCTTCTCTCTCAGCCCTCAGGGAGGAGGGCTGTGATTGGTGGACAGGGAGAGCTGCTGGGGGTTAAACATGAAGGATGAACCGCAGCCCATGGGGCCGGCTCACGAGGGGCTACCCCCCCACCCCCACGCCCAGCTGGCCCTGAGAATGTGAATGGTATTTTTGTAATAAATGGTACATACAATTGGCTGGGGGTGGTGCTGGCTCTGGGGGGAGGGGGAGGGAGGGGGTGTGGCCTGGCCCTGAGAATGTGAATGGTATTTTTGTAATAAATGGTACATACAATTGGCTGGGGGTGGTGCTGGCTCTGGGGGGAGGGGGAGGGAGGGGGTGTGGCTGGGCGCCTGGCAAGGGGCTTTCCTCCTCTCCGGGAGCCCTGCCCGGGGTGCACATCTGCAGTCGGGGGGAAGCTGGGGAAGGGAACTGAACAGCTCACCCCTTCCCATGGGCGTGGCTCCAGGGGCGGGGCTTGGGTGAAAGGGGCGGAGCTGAGCTTGCCATCCCCAGTTGAGTGTTCACCCACTGCCATTGTTTCCTTCAGCATGTCCTGTCATCCCAGTAATGCCTTCAGCCCGGCCAAAGCACTAGATTGATTTGTACTCTTCTCCTAACTGCCTGGCCTGCTGACTATGAAACCAGATGAAATCGATGACACTAGTGGGAATATCTTTCCTCGTTCTACTTCTCTCTACAACAGGCTTTCCAGGCTCCAAATAGATGAAATTCATCACCACGTTGGCACCAACACACACTCACGGGGTGGGAGGGCCAGTGCCAATCTTTTTTGGGGAAGGAGGGCAAAGCAAAGTTTGCCCTCATTCCCCGCCCTTCTCCTCTCTTTCGCCGGCACCAGCTGGAGCCGGGGAAATGCCGGGCAGGCTCCTCACTGGCTGACCTTTGTGCTCCAGTTGCAACGTTGGGAGCAGAGTGCGGCTGCATGGCGACACGTATATATTTAGGGCCAGCTGGTAAACCTCTCTCATGCTGCTGAGCCGATATTCACCCAGACGGCTCTGTGGCAGTAGATGTTGAATACCCAGCAAAGCACATGCTTAACGTGAAGCACTTGAGTAGTTTTATCCATTGTCAGCAAAGCACTGGAGCACATGCTTAAGACACAGAGATGTGGAGTATGTTGCTGAATCAGGGCCTATTATAAGTGTGGGTGTAACCATCTGGCTCTAAGTTCAGGATTAGGGCTATCACAGACAGCACATGCCAGAAAGCCACAACTTCTGTAGCTGCATTTGCTTTGTATCGATGTTACCCGTCTTTTTTATTTGACCCATGTCTTCTTCTAACTAACCCCTCTCTCTTCATTTCCTGCCATCTACTCCATAACCCTTTAACTGAGCCTTAGAAATGGGTAAACAAAAGCCCTATGTTGTACTATATTATACAATGCTATCCTGTATCCATCATACAACCGCTGCAAATGCAAGACCACATTGCTCACTGAAGACACGGGTCAAGAGGGTTGGATCAGCATTCATGGTGTTTCCTCCAGTGGTACCAGGTTAACCCCTGGGAAGTGAATGATCCAACCTAGTAGACCCAACTCAATGCATTCTGGTCATGTGCCAGCGATCATCCCCATCATCCCATCATCCCCCGACTTTTTAGTTATCGGTCCAGTTCAAGAGATCTCCAACTCAACACTGAAGGTTAGTCAGCATCCAAGGGTATGTCTAGATTATATGCTATTTTCAAAAGAGGACAGATATTTTCGAAAGACTATCTTCTTCCAATCTCACTTTCAAAAGTGAAAGTAGTCTGGACGTGTTTTTTTTTTTCAGAAAAAAAACCCTTTTTCAAAAAACCACTCTTCCTTAAAAAATGAGACGAAAAAAACATAGTTTAGACATACCCTAACTGTAAATTGTAAGATGGGAAAGGATGCAGAAGTGAGACAGATTGAGTTAGTGCTGCAGCCCAGCAGGGCCCGTGGTCCACGGAGCCGAGTGAGCCCAGGGACTCAAAAACCCCCCTGCCTCGGCGCGCTGAGCCTGGTCTCCTAGAGGCGACTGCATGTCCGGGTAGGGGGTGCTGCAGCCCAGCAGGGCCCGTGGTCCACGGAGCCGAGTGAGCCCAGGGACTCAAAAACCCCCCTGCCTCGGCGCGCTGAGCCTGGTCTCCTAGAGGCGACTGCATGTCCGGGTAGGGGGCCCCACCCTGGGCGGTGTTCCTGGGTGGCTGCTCACCAGCTGCCAGCCTGTCTAGACTGGGCCAAATGTCAGCAAAAAGCTTTCTTTTGGAAGCCTCCTTATTCCTTGTGGAATGAGGAATACAGGGGTTGCCAAAAGAGCATGTTTGCTCTTCTACTAAAAAAGCGGAAGAACAAACGTGTCCCTGGACGCGGAAGAGTTTTTCCGGGATACCGCCGGTAGCTGGGAACAACTCTTGTCTAGCCGACCCCTTCCAGCTGCGGGAAGCAGGCCCTGCGTACGCCCTCAAGGGCTTTGGCCGGGTGAGGAATGCAGGGTTATTATCAGCAGGCCCAGTAAACAAATCCCCAGGAGGAATCCGGCCCTGCCCCTGTTTGTCCTCCTGCCTCCCCCTGTTTCACACCAGCCGCGCTGTTCCTTTCCAAGCTGCCATGAATGCCTCCTTTATACCCCGCGGGCGACGGGGGCCGTGGAACTCCTAGTGCTAGGCTCGGGAGCAAGCGCGGGAGCAGATGGGGACCCATCAAAGCCGCACAACCAGCCCCAGGAGAGGAGGGAGAACAAATCCTTTTGGCAGGGGGAGAAACTGAGGTGCAGAGTGAGGCCATGACCCCATGTTCCCCCCTAATCTTTTCCAGCTATGTGCGGAATAAATGATGTGAAGTGAGGCATGTGCGGATGTGCACCACCAGTAGTCACGCATGCTGCCGGCTGAGGCGAATCAGCTGGGTGGTCTTTGAATCTCTCCTGAGTGGTGGCCCAAGTGCCCAGCTGATGACGGACACTGGCCAAGGTGTGACAGCAGGGTGGTGGAGGGAGTCTTGTCTCTCCTGCGCTAAGCGTTAATCCCCTTCCCCGAGCTGACGCGTGGCCTTTCCTACTCTAATCACTCAACCACCCTGCCCATTCCGTGATTCCCACACTCTGTCCTCCTAGGGTCTCTGGCAGTCACAGGATGCCCATGATAGCCAATGGAACAGGGGTGCAGTCTGGCTGCCCTTTCTGGTGGGTGTTGCTCTCTGAGACGACAGGAGATTGATAGCTGAAGGCTAGGAAACACACACACACACACACACCCCGCTGCCCTGTCTCAACCTCATTATGCCACACAAACCACCTCGGCTGTGGCTACCCCAGGGATCCAGCGGGATCACAAGCAGGAGGGGAGGTAGTTGCTAAGAGGTGCTGTGAAGAAGCGGGTCCTAATCCCACTGCTGCCACCATGTTGCCAGAGGCTTCAATCAAAAAGCCTTGACCTGGCCTGGCTGACTTATGACCAATGCAGCTCTGAAAAGGGAAATGGGATGTAGTGGTTACAGCGATGGGGCTCAGGACTCTAGAAGAAAAGTGGCGGAGAAATCAGTGATGGGGAGCCCATATATAATTGTTCCTGCAGCTTGTTTAATCTATTGCACCCCGGTCCTGGAGCGGAGGTGAGCACAAGCAACAGTCAGCCCAAAGCAAAACTGCAGGGCTGTGTCTAGACTGGCCAGTTTTTCCAGAAAATCAGCTGTTTTTCTGGAAAAACTTGCCAGCTGTCTACACTGGCCGCTTGAATTTCTGCAAAAGCACTGACTTCCTACTGTAAGAAATCAGTGCTTCTTGTAGAAATACTGTGCTGCTCCTGTTCGGGCAAAAGTCCCTTTTGCGCAAAACTTTTGTGCAAAAGGGCCAGTGTAGACAGCTCAGATTTGTTTTGCGCAAAAAAGCCCCGATCGCGAAAATGGCCATTAGGGCTTTTTTGCGCAAAAGCGCGTCTAGATTGGCCACGGATGCTTTTCCGCAAAAAAAGCATCCCTCTGCTGGATGATGCTCTTTTCTGCAAATGCTTTTAATGGAAAACTTTTCCGTGAAAAGCGTTTCCGGAAAAATCATGCCAGTCTAGACGTAGCCCAGAAGTGCAAACACCAGTACCCTACCAGGAACAACTCTGCTCCAAGAATTGCCTCCGCTCAGAGGGCTGAAGGCGGAGAGCAACCTCCTCTGTTCCACATGGTGCCTGGGTTCAATGAACCGTGTTCCACGGCCCATCTTTGAGCTCCGAACACTGGCTCGCACGCTAAGACCTTGGAAGACGACACGCAACGGCACCGCCTACGGAGCACGGATTGTGCCAACAGAAAACCCCCAGTCGTGACAGCCAGGAGGCCTTTTCTGAGTTTGAAACGTGGCCTTTGCGAGGGAAAAAGCGGAGCCAACCCCTTTGCTTTTTCCCCAGGCGCGCCAGCAGGGTGAAACCAGCTCTGGAGGGGAGTTGGGGGTAAAACTGGCCAGCAGGCTGTACCCCCCCCCCAACCGACGCAATTGACATGAGTCTCCCCATGGGGATCTATGGGGGGGGGTCCTTCTACCACCTCCCGCTCTGCGCAAGATACTCGGCAGCCAACCCAGTACTGACTGCCTTTGCTTTTTCCCCAGGCGCGCCAGCAGGGTGAAACCAGCTCTGGAGGGGAGTTGGGGGTAAAACTGGCCAGCAGGCTGTACCCCCCCCCCAACCGACGCAATTGACATGAGTCTCCCCATGGGGATCTATGGGGGGGGGTCCTTCTACCACCTCCCGCTCTGCGCAAGATACTCGGCAGCCAACCCAGTACTGACTGCTCTTGCAAATGCAGCGCCGGGAAGGGGGGAGGTTGCGCCAGCCCACAGCTGGGCCAC